AGAGTACGGAGGTTTGTCTGACTCACTCAGCGAGGAGCTGTCCTCATCAGGCTCGGCGTCCAGGAGACGCTTGTGAGTTTTATCTTGCAAAACGCCATCTCTGTATTCTGGAATAGCTGTCTCCATATCCCCGTCGTTGATGTTTGGTGATTTCGACGTTGGTGATTGCATGTTGAGACGTTTTGTAGATTCTAGGTTTAAGCAAACGTCTAGTGTTGGGAACCTTAAAACTAAGCATTTTGGATTCATTAAACAGCACTAATCCAAGTTTAAGTACAAGCTCTAAACGTCTATTCCGAGGTCGGAGACCCGATGCCATCTTATGCAGGCACCTTAGAGATCAAGACCGGAGGATGTGTAGAAAGATACCCAGGGTCACGCTAGTCCCGATCGACTATTGTGAGGGAATAAAACCCACAGTGTAGATGCATATGAGGCTTATGCGAGGTTTCGTTTTAGCCGCACGTGTGGAAACTCCCTTTCATGCAAGTGGCGCATGGCGTACTAGCCCCAGGAAGCTACTAAATATAGAGCGTGCTGTGCGATTTAGAGCCATGACAGACGGCTAATGGCAGAGGCAGTTGGGTGGAAGAAGAAAAGGAGACTGTCGAAGGACCTTATTAGATAACGGCAGGAGGAGTAGCAGAATGTGTCCAAGACTACTTCTGTTTCGGGGCTACCAGTTTTGAGAACAGGGTTAACTTCTTGCCGGGTATGTTCAAGCTCTACCCTTAGTCAGCTACTAGACAATGTCGTAGACACTGGGCACATTATGTTACACACGAGGTGTCGTCCTGTAAATATTGCAACAGAGTTTTTGTAGGCCGCCTATATGAAATTAATATGCGGGGTGCTGAGGGATTTATTTTGCGTAATTAAATTGAGAGCTCATAATTATTCGTTTAATTCGAGTGGCGCATCTGAGTTCGACAGAAGATATAGGAACTGCCAAGGAATAAAGGAGTTGATCAGCTAACTCGAACGAAGGACAGTACTTCTGGTCCAATGATACCCGCTTTAGCTCTACCTTATGAGTCATTTATAGAAAGCTTCTATAACCACAAAACCTTCCTTCGAAGATGGTACATCTGGAGTGACAAAGGTACTGGTCAGATTTCAACCAAGTATACAATACTTATAGATAAATACACATAAATCAAACGGATGGCGTGGAATAAGAAATGTGTGCGAGGTGCCATCCATTCAAAACATGGATGTTGAACGAAAAGATGCTAATAAATAACAAAAACAAAATGCAGAGACAATAAATAACAAATCATACGCTTGGATCTTATCTGGGCACCAGTATTATCCATGGTGCTTGCGCTGAGCATCCCACTTTAACCCCTTGTGGATCAAAATGTACACCAAGAAGTTAGAGACAAAGCACAAACCCGCAAGGAAGGTGTAGACCCCCCCGATGGTCATTTTGGTCTCCATCATTTCCAAACAGGCGGTCCCAACGGCAGCTGTCAAACACCTGGCGAGGTTGACGCAGGACGCAGACACTGATGTTTGACCCGGGAATAAATCCACCATAATAGTGGTGGACGTGGTGACGTAAAAGGAGGCACAGAAGGAGATCATCGCGGAGCTCACAAGCACACTGGCCAACTGGATCTTATTCTCAATGAACCACCCGTACATGACAAGTCCACAGCAGGCAGCGGAGCACGGGTAGATAAGAAGGTTTAACCTAGCTTTATAGAAGTTGAATACCGGTTTGTGCGCACACTGGGCTTCATCATAATTTGCAAGATCCCCTTCATACGTGGTGCGCATTTTAACGTAGTGCCAGTTGAGGAGCTTACCGCAGACAAGAGAACCGATGAGACAAGTAATGCCTTGCGGTAAGTAGCAGAGTCCCACCTGGAGGGTGGTATAGCCGTATTTGGTAGACAAGGAGTTGGAAAGCGTGGTCATACTCATGGTCCAGGCGGCAAACTGTAACGATGCGGGTATCAACACAAAGTACACCTGTCTGTTCATGAGGATCTTCAAGGGGGATAACCAATCGATGCGCTGACGGCTGTCCTCTAAGGTGCTCAAATCGTTCGTAAGTCTGCGGGAATAGCGCGATAATAAGAGGATTGGTGCACGGTTGATGAAGCGCTTCGGTCTCACGGACTGATTCCCGACAATGGAGCGGCAGGTTTCAGGGATAACAGCAACGCAGACAAGTAAGATAACCCCAGCTGTGATTGCAAGAAACCAGAAAATAGCTCGCCAGGTTCCGAAACCAGTGGTGATACCGGACCCAATGAGAGCACCGAACGCCTGTCCCACAAGAGTGAATCCACTGGCGGCACCCATAAACGAACCCCTTTCGTGACGGAGAGTAAAGTCACCAACCATACCGGAACAGATGGCAATGACAGGAGCAATACCCCCGGCTTGCACACAGCGCAAGACAAGGATGAGCCAGTATACGTTCAGACGGGCAATGCCAATGTTAGCCACGACATAGACGAGAAGTGAGAGCAAGAGCATTGGTCGGCGCCCATACTGGTCTGCCAAGTTAGAGGAGATGGTTGGAACGATCCCCTGAAAGATCAAGTAGCACACCACCGCCAAGTTCATCAACTCATCGGAGATCTTGAACTCTTGCTTGATGTCTTTCATTATGGGGAAAAAAATAGGGGACGCAATCGAGGACATTATCCCCACAAACGAGTTGATCATCACGATCCCAAGCTTTTCTCTGTACGTGAGAATGGAGTACGAGGGTTTGTCAGATCCGCCCGACGAGGTGTGGTCAGTCTTGTCCAGTGACGGCGACGGATCGTCGATGTGGATAGGGGGAGTAAGCCGGCTATCCCTGTCTATAGGATCAGAGAGATCAGACATTGTGATTTGTGTGTCTTGGACGTCAATGAGCTTCACACAGCTGGTGGGAAGTTTAGCTATATACTAGGTTTGGACATAGGGAAGTACTGGGCCAGCTCTTAAGATGTTGCTATATGTTGTCAAATATGTTTAACGTCTCGAAACAGATATGCCGCTGGGCACGAAAAAGAAATTCTCGGAAATAAGCTTGTACGCCTTTGCGGCTGTAAGGGAAAAAAAAATGAAACCGATGACGCAGGCGCATGAATAACGTTGCGACGCATAGACCTACATGTTTGGCCATGTATGCAGGCGCAGCCTTGCAACGGGGATAGCGCGTGACCTTGACACCATGCCGATATATGTTCATCTGACCCTGAAGATGCAACCATACTAAGTCTTCCTCGGCTAATATACAGTGGTATTGCTGCTTATGTCATAGAGGAAAGAAATGGTGCGATTTAAAATACTGCTTTCTACCTTTGGACCGCTACTTTGACCTGCTACTTTGACCTGCCATCACAACTGGTAGGGTATGCATCAGATGTAAGAATGATATAAACTGTTCTAGCCTGATATGGGTGTGGGGTGACACATGGCGTAACATAAACGATGCGCCAGCTACTGAGAATATCACCCGCATAAACGCAAGTTTGGCTACCTCCTTACTATCGATTTGGCTCATACAAGTGCTTTACTCAGCATGGTGCGTCTTAAACCCTTTTTGTGCATGTTATACACAGGCTTCCAATTCCAGGTATGTCCGGCCGGGGTAAGAATCCCCGAGATGCGGACTCAGTCATGTGATTCGTCTCGAGACCATAAGTATAAGGGGGGTTTAAAGCTACAGGGGAATTGACTGTATTGCGCTCCGTAAAGACTGTGACGATGAGGGGGGACGCCACAAATGTTGCTTATCCTGTTTGGATTTTCTCCATATGGTCGGATAGATCCCTCCCCACCGCTTCACACAGATATGAGAGATCCTCCCAGTCGAGTATTATCGACTGCACTTACTGCAACACCATGTACCCTCTCCGTGCTCCCTAACCTAACCGCTGCCGGTCATTCTTTTATTTTTATTGTCAACCAAATTTAGCGTATGGGTGTTCGTGGATTAGTCATATAGCACAGTTGGGAATTAGTTTCAGCCTTACCTGTCATAGGTGGAGTTTGCATTTATGCCGGCTAAACTTCGCAGGACACCCAAAACTTCCACGTGCAGAAGCAGAAAATAGTATACAACTCCGAGATCGGGGTTCGGGCTACGGAGGCATAGTACAGGTGTGATAGACTAGGGCCCTCAATAATCATTATTTAGAAATACCTTTCGAAGCCGACCTCGGTATTGGGACCTCATACAGCAAAACCCCGGCTAATTTCAGGCTTTAATCAATTCCCCATTATAGGCCATCGGTAAATACCTTTTCACTGGATCGAGGCGTATATTACACAGTTCATTTGAAGGTGTCCTGGTGTGCTCAATGTATCTACATTGTAATATTCAGGTCACCTTTACTTATTTGCTCCGGCTTTTTATAGATTCGGTGACTTCCTTCAGTTTGCGTTGCCGTCTCTCAGCTCCGGATATATGTTCAATGTACAAGTTACCCAGACCTCCAATGGCATGATTCATTAACGAAATTGCATAAGTACTCATATATATATAAATCTCCTGGATGCCACTACAGAGCTACAATGACAGAGCACACCAATACTACCAACGCAAAAGCGATACCCCCAGCAACGACCATCCCTTCCTTTGCGGTTAAGTCTCGGGGTTTACGCAGCTCAATCAGCTGCACTAAATCCTTAACCGACAAGATCTCTTTAGAGCGAGGAAGCCTTGCTCTCCTCCAAAACTTCTTAGCCATCCAATACGAAATCTCTCTGTCAAGCTGCCTCCAGAACGATTCATTTTGCGATCTGGTCATCCACGGGGCATAACGATGCTCTACCTTCTCTATGGAGGGGTCGGTATTCGTAAGCGTCTCTAGTGGTCCTCCAGGAGTCATAATCCACCTCCATTCGCGGCACCAGGCAGCGGCGTTGTGGTAGCACGGCTTAATTCGCGGGATTCTGCGAGCCTTCCTTTTGATATCCCGCAGCACCTGTGAAACTAGTCTGCTCACCTCGAGGTCCCCCGGACGTGAAAGATCGTCGTCGTCCGAGGAGGTGAAATCCGGTGTGTAACTCCTACGTCTTCGTCTGTGTCGAGAGTGAGTTTTTGAATCTGATGAGGAAGAAGTGAACGAGTCCGAATAGTCCTCGTTAGCACAATGGCTACATCCGACAGGTTGAGGAGGTATGTGTACGACGTGACTAGAGTGACATGGATGAACCATTTGTGGGGTAGTATGCACAATTCCAAACTTCATTGAAAATTTGCGGGGATCATTATCAGAAACCTGGTCCTTGTTTAAGGCGTCGTTGCAACGCTGATTTTCCGTTTGTTGGATTTTGCTCTCTTTTTTCGGAGTTAATTTCTGAAAGTTCTGAGCTGCATTGACATTTTGTGCGCACTTAGTCGCACAATTCAGAGGTTGAAGAGTTTCTTGGACCCTAGATTCGGTCTCCTGCTGGCTGCATTGGTGAGTGACCGTTGGGGAAGCTTTTGCCACCGGAGTCGCCAGTGGCTGTGGGGTCGCTAGTGGTTGTGGGGCCGCTAGGCTGGTTGGTGTAGGAGTTGGTCGATCATTTTTCACGGACATTTTAAAAGTGTTGGATCGAAAAAAAAATTAAAGTAGGGCGTAGTCATTGTCTTTATAGTATGTCAAGGGTGGCGAGACACGTGGCAATCGTATGCAGGGGGCCAGGTATGCGTAGTTTGGGGCTTAGGCTGACCGTATCTCTGAGAGACCGATCGCTCACCGTTTAGAGATGAGAGACAAAAGATAGGATCGCTTTTAGGTCCCCGCATACTAGACCCTCGTTACATTTTACCTGGTAAAAGTATGGTGTAGAATAAGGTGAATAAAAGGTGTACGAAGGTTCTGAGATTTAAACGACGTGTATGAGTTTTTAACCGACAATATTCTCTTTATCTAAAGATGTTTGGTTACCAGGTGTCGGCTATGTTGAAGCGTTCCAGGCACAGATGCCCTCAGACCGCCTGCACTACGGTTACCACACGCGGCGTAGGTACAGAACCTAACACAAACCGGAATAATCGTGCAACTAGGAGTGATTAAAACTTTTGAATTAATCATATACCAAAGTTTTATTACCTATACATTTTTAAATAAGCCCTCCAACAGAGACTTTTCCCCAGATTCAGGCAGGTTCACCGCGTGTTCCACTATAGTCGCGCGCGGCCAAAACCGCGGCCAAAACCTCGGCCAAAACCCCGCCTCCAAATTTCTGCGCGTGGCTTCTCGCCCACTCTTCTCCTACTTCCACGCAACATGTCTTTCAACAACTTTGACGTGGAGGCACAAACCCAGCGAACCAGACCTGAGACGCTGGGGCTCGACCAGACCCTTGCTGTGGCATCGTCGCAGCTCGCAGCCTTTGCCACGAGCATTGCATCGCTCGGCCAGCTCATCGGCCAGATTGGTAGCCCAAAACGCGACAGCACCGCGCTCCGCATACGCATTGAAGGGCTCGCGAAGGAGTGTAGCCGGGGCGAACTCCTCACCAAAAATGCCCTTCACACGTTGGCCAACCAACTCGAGCCTGCCGACGCACAGCAGCGGTTCACGGAGGAAAAGTTGAAGCGCGAGTTTGGCGGGTTGGTCCATGTGTTTAACAAGGTCCAGAACGATTATACGGACCGAAAGCAGGCGTATCCATTGGTGGAGACAGTTGTAGAGCCCGTGCGTGAATCGGAGCGCGCGCCGTTGATCCAGCAGCAAGTCCAGATGTACACCGAAGTTTCCGAATCGGATCTCCTGTACCAGTCAGCATTAACCGAGGCACGTGAGACAGAAATTGGCAAGATCCAGACTGGTATCCAGGAGGTCAACACCATTTTCCGCGACCTTTCGCAGTTAGTCAAACAGCAGGGCGAGTTGGTGGATACGGTGGAAGGCAACATGGGCGCGATCGCTCTGAACACTGCAGACGCGAGCCACGAGTTGACGCGCGCGGAGACGTACCAAAAGGCGCGTGGCAGATGGTGCTGTTTCTTGTTGGTGTTTCTCGCGGTGATGTTGGTAGTGATCCTTGCCATTTTGAGCTGAGCTATAGGTCGACCAAAAAGGAATGCTCCCAGATTTTGGTGGGAGTACATTAGCTACAGGGGCTGGCTATGACTGTGTTGGCGAAAGTGATTCGATTGGGATGCTGATTGTTGGAATATCTCGTGAGATATGCAATGAATCTACATCAGGTATATGGCAGACCTTATCCAGTAACCAATCCCCAGTGACACCTTGATGTGGTATTTCAAGTTCCTATGAGAGTACCGGTGGATTTCCGGGGACTGTAGCGATGGTACGCATATCCCCGGGATGAGAATTGACACCCCTACAGGTATTGGATATCATCATACAAGTGAATTTTATCCGGTGAACTCCAGGACATGCCCTGTACCGGTCATGTTCAGGTCTCTGGGTAGTTTTTGAAGCAGTACTAGAGAAGCTCAACTCCAACTAATAATTAATAAGACCTTGATACTAAAGGGCCTAACAGGGACATCATATTTCGTGCTTAGGACTAATTATATACATTTTGACAATCTGGCACAACCACCGAATAATGAATAAATGCGTTTGAGCGTACCGATCATGGTACTTGGATTATGCGTAAACCTCAATGGCCTGACTGCAGATCTACCCGTGAAATCTGGATTTGACGTCTCCTTCGTCTTGCCGATATCGAACGTTCGGTTGTGTATTTTGTCGGATAACCACTAATTTATTTATCCGTGGAGGGTAAATACGGGCATCGAGGGTCGTAGCCGATAGTATTATCAGGCACAGCCCCCAGTACAGCCATGTTGCTGGGTGGCTGGCCTCTGCCGCACGCGCCGCACCTTATATTTAGCCCCTACACCTCCACAACAGGCGATCTGAAACATTCGGCTGTGCCTGCGCCAAGCTAGAAAAGATTTCAGAACCAACCCATCCCTTATTTGCTTTAAACCCACTCTCTTCTAAATTCGCTTCAATTCCCAAACAGATACCACACATATACCAATATTATGCTCCTTCCCACAACAACTGAGTTCTGCCCCGCGAGTTTCGTTGATTCGCTCCGCGCACGTAGCTTCGCATCGGATGTGGTGTCTACCGCAGACTCGTTCAAATCGTGGGACACGTGTATGGGCAACAAGACCTGCAAGATCATTGTGATTGTTTTAATCGTGATCGGTGCGCTTCTCGTTCTCTGGGTCGTGAGCACCCTTCTTCGCTGTCTCTGCTGCGGGGTCGCCTGCCTCGAGGCCTGCTGCTTTTGCTGCTGTCGCCGGACCACCCCGCGCGGGATGGAGTCCCTGAATCTGGCCTTCAACAACCCGAACATGTACCCGACAATGTATCAGCCAGCAGCGCAACCAGCGCCCGTATACTTCTCACAGGAGCCGGCGTACGCACCCGTCAACAAGGTATCGTATGGCTACGTACACGACGGGCACGGTTCGGATGATGACTATAAGGAAGGTATCATGATGCAGAGTATTCCCGCACGCACAAACTCTGGCTACCGTGGTACGGAGCGTGGGGAAGATCCGTTTAATAACTCGCACGCGTACAACGCGAATCCTTATGAAAGCTATGACGCTTATGATGGGTATCTGCAACAGCACCAGAGCCAAACTCAAAGACGGGGGGAAAACAGCACCTACTATTAGGGGATTATGACCGAGAGGAGGGTAAAACTGGATAAACCCGTTGATGGCGTATCAAGCGTTCAGAGCCATTTTAAAGTGCTGCATGGTTGAAAAAATGCTAAAGCTCCAGGTCGAGATATACAAACCATATATTATCATGCGCTTTTGGAGTACTCCAAATGAAACATCTAAAAGCCACGTCGCGCTATGTAACCTCCAAGATTGACAGTACAGTGAAGGTATGAGCCAAGTAGGTTTATTATGGTGTGAGATAGATGAAATAACAGTATTAAGGTTGGTTTTTCTAAGCTACTGATTCATTGGCTTGGAGCAGCAAAAGTAGCTGGGAGGTAAGTTAGAATAGCCGTCTTGTGTAGAGATATATGGCGAATTGGCGTAAATAAATTAAAGTCCATACATGGAAGGTGTATATGTAGAATTTTATAGGCATTCTACAAGGACTCTTTGCCTTGTCTCAGACCGTAACTGACTAACAGAGATATCATATTTTAGGAAAAAATCTAACTATTCGTAACTTATACCTTTAATGCGCTTCTACCAGATAAACACACGTTGACGCCTCGGGGAATGTTATACCATAGTGAATTGGCATCAGTTTACCGCCATCCCATTGCTAGTGGTTATCCCTCTTTAATCCAGGCTTTTAGGCAAAAGTTCCTATGTTCTCTATTATAATTGTTGTAATCGATTAGATGGCACGCCTGTATTTGTGTGATGACCGGATCCTGATTGGCGCATGGTGTACGGAATTGACATGTGACACATCACATGACGCATATTCGCCAATCACCTGAACCATTTTCTCCAGGGTGCTTGCAGTCATCCTGGGGCTACAATTTATCACCGCTGATATCATCCAGGACCCTTTCTCTCAAACCCCCACCCATACCCACCATGCCAGACAAGAGATCTTTCTACGCGGACGATGATGTCTCCATTCCGACGCCCGGCTACAACTCCAAAATCTCCGACAGCTTGAAGCAAAAGGAGTCACTCCACGATGCTACCGAGGTCGAGGGGATGATTATTCGCACCGTGCCCGTGTTTGAGAGGTATGCCAATGAGGCCAGACTTTACTTGCACAACAAGCGCGAATTGGCTGCTGCCGAATGGGGTACCCAGAAGTCTGCCTTTTGCAACGAGGTCAAGTCCATCAAAACCCATATCGACACCACTATTGTCGAGCCAGTGTTGCCGAGCTTAATCTACATTTTGACCACTGCCTTGTCTGGCTCCATTATGGTCAACAAGAGCAGCTTGCCGGTACGTTTTGTGGCTCCATTGTTGTTTGGGACTGCTGCCTACAAGTACTTCATGCCACAGTCCTACGCTAACACCGTGGCGCACGCCGCCTTCTATGAGGCCAAGTTCCCGGCTGTTGTCCAAGGCCACGCTGACTTGGATGCAACTATTAATAGTGCTAAGGCAACCACCAAGAAGACAGTTGACTGTGCAAACGAATCATTGGTGCTGGGGGTTAGAGCCACGAGATTGTGGGTCAAGGACACCATCGAGGAGATTAAGGGGGATAAATAAGTACTCCAGTGTATAGATATGAATAAATTGTAGATAAAGATGGAGGGCGGTAAGGTTAATATGGTTTGGATTTCATCACCAGCTGGAGCATTTAGGGATCGTCTGAAAATGAAAAAGGTGTAATGCTCCAAGATGTTTCTACTTATGAAATAACCTGAAATGCTGGTTTAAGCAATGGGTTTGCACGATGAAACCGAAGTTTCCGCTTTTCATTAAAATTGATACGATTTGGAGACCCACGAGAACCCATGAGATTGATGAATATCTAAATATATCACATATACGCTGGGATCAACACTATAAATTGATTCAAATGAACCAAATCATACCTAGTACTTTGTCTAATTTAGTATTTTTCAAAATCCCTATAGTTTTCCCTTCCAATTCCGGCCTTTGTTTTGTAATGCATCGTCGAGATCAGGAATCGTTAGTGTTTATGATTTTTCGGTTAGGCAGTAAATTATATATTTCCCTTCCATCAACTCACAAAGACTTTGCTACTGATAAACACGATAGTAAGCTCTCCGATGGTCTTGCAAAAAAATAAAATCTCAGCTCGTGATAGCCTACTGTCATATCCGGAGCCGTGCCGGAAAGTGGCCGTTCGGTAGTTAAATCAATGACCTGTTAGTAGCATTTACTGGCTGGACTAGAACCATACAGAAGTTATATAATAGTACTAAGACTAATTATAATGGTAAATATCATGATACCTAATATTGTGGTATTCGAATTTAATAAACGGGTTACAGTCTCGTGGCCATGGGGAATATTATCCAGAAGCTCATGGAAATACTCGCCGATCGTTCACAACTGCTGACCTAGGAACCAGGCCTAATGCATATCTTTCCGCTGTTATCAGCCGCTGGCCCTTTGCGCCTCATACGCAGCTGGTTGCAAACAGAGTTGGCCACTAAATCTTTATCTTAGTTTGCTTGTCTTCTTTTACTCTTTCCATACAAGCTTCTATTTCATCGTTAATTTTCGTACCCTTGCTACTCCAGCATAGTTTCTGGTCACACTCATTTACAGCCGTTCCCTATTACTGTTTCATCGTCATCTGCACCCATACCCAACTGAATACTTGAGTACATTTAATACCTTGAGTCTCTGCCTCAATCGGTCGCAATTTATTCAGCCTCACTAAACCAACCATAGTCACAGACCTTGGCTAGAAAACTCTATCCATCTCAATCCAGACATGCAGCCTACAACTATGCTCTCAGATGTCTCCTCGCCAGTCCCCCGGATTGGGAGCCGCTCCCCCGGCCGTAACTCACCAATGACCTCCTTCATGGCAACGGTACGAGAATCCCCCAGTGCTCGCAGAGCTTCAATCGCACGTCTTGCAACCTCCCCAGCTCCTGGCCTCAGCTCCCCGCACAACGGATCTGTATCTGGCAGCTTCCTCTCGCGTAACCCTAGCTTCGTGCGTTCCCTGTCGACCGAGATATACCCCAAGGGAATGGAGATCCCCTCGAGGTCCAGTGACTTTTGTGTTGATGACTATGCCATTTCCCTGCGCGCTGTGTCTGAAGACGAAGAAAGCATCCTGGAGCCTATTGTCAAAGCTGTGAGCAAGCACTTGGTCCTCGAGGTGGATGACTTGCAGCTCCAAGGTGGAGACACCACAAGAGAGGTTTACAAGATTGCCAAACCTCGAATAACCCGTTCCCTCTCTGTGTCTGACTTTGATCGAGAACGGAGAGGCTCCACCGCCTCCCTGTTCAACGTTCCCGGCGGTTTTCGCAGACAGTTCATTGAGAATGAAGCCCAAAAGCACCACAAAAAGGTTAATTTCGTCACACTGAACTTTTTGGAGTTTTTGAGCGTGTATGGACACTTTGCGGGTGAGGACTTGGAGGATGATGACTACACGGCCTGTTCGTTGGTGCCCCGTTTCCGTCTCGACGAGGAGACCCCGTTGCTCACCCGATCCAGAACGCAGCAGCAGGGTACTGCTTCTGCTACCAAGGCGTATTTCTTGTTGCTCAAGGCTTTTGTTGGTACAGGGGTGCTTTTCCTCCCCAAGGGGTTTTACAACGGCGGGATTCTCTTCTCCTCTGTGACTTTGTTCGCCTTTGGAATGCTTTCCTACTGGTGCTACCTCATCTTAGTACGCTCAAAGACTGCCACGAGCGTTTCCTCCTTTGGTGACATCGGCAAGAAGTTGTACGGCACGTGGTTCAAGTTCTTGATCTTGTTCTCCATCACGGTCTCCCAGGTTGGTTTCTGCGCTGCGTACATTGCATTTACGAGTGAAAACTTCCGGGCGTTCATTATAAATGTCTCGGGTTACGATATGGACCCACGCTTACTCACACTCGTGCAGTGTTTGTTCTTTGTTCCCATTTCGATGATCCGTGACATCACCAAACTCTCTTTATCGGCCGTGATTGCGAACTTGTTCATCATGATGGGCCTTGGGGTGATATTCACTTACTGCGGCGCCCAGATCATGGACCAGGGGGTGGCTAAAGTCCAGGCCTTCAACCCTGAATCGTTTTCCTTGTTCATTGGGGTGTGTATCTTTGCCTTCGAAGGGATTGGGCTCATTCTCCCGATCCAGGAGTCTCTCAAACACCCGGAACAGTTTCCCCGGATTCTCTTTCTCGTCATCATCACCATCTCGTTTGTGTTTATCCTCAGTGGATGTCTTGGCTACGCCGCCTACGGGGACAACGTGCAAACTCTAATAATCATGAACTTACCGCAGGGGTCGTACTTTGTCCGCTCCATCCAGTTGTTTTATTCCGTCGCGATTCTTCTTTCCTCCCCCTTGCAAATGTTCCCGGCTATCCGGATTTTGGAACTTAAGGTTTTTGGGAAGCAGAGCGGAAAGTACTCATTCGAGACCAAGTGGCGCAAAAACTCCTTTAGAGCCGCATTTGTTGTTTTCACCTCGTGTATAGCGTGGTTAGGTGGCGGAAACCTCGACAAGTTTGTCTCTTTTATTGGCTGCTTTGCGTGCATTCCGTTGGTGTACATGTATCCGCCATTGTTACATTTACGCTCTTGTGCAACGAGCAAGTGGTCTAAGGCTAGCGATCTAGCCTTAGTCGTTGTTGGGTTTGTCGCGATGGTTTACACTACATGGCAGATTTTGGCCGGATAGATATACAAGGCATTCAATTCTATAGCTTAACAATTCCTACTGTGGTATATCTTTACCTCAAGGGTAGAATATTTACTTATAGTAATAGTAATACTGGTTGCCTATATAATGTATATAGGATAAAGGGGAGAGGGATCGACCTCCTTATATAGAATATTGATCCCTGCCACGTGACAGCTGCATGCTTACTACACCTACCTCGATAATATTTACAAGCTGGTTGTAGAAAGAATAGGGCAGTGTATATTGATATTCTAATGATTCTTGAATTTATGATTACTCTAAACCGAAAGGTAGCGCTTCTCTCACGTTCAGAATCAACAGTATTGCTACGTCATTTTAGACAAGGTCGTATCAACTACTCCATGTAGTGATTTCTTCCTGATGACTTTAAGCCGTTTACTTCCGTGCAGGTGCTCACTTCGGGAACTTCCCCGGGCTGCCGGTCTCGGGGTACATTAAACCGGAGCTGTTTTTCATCTCACTCAGTGCCTTACTCCTCCTTTATTCTTCCTCGTACCTTAGGCTTAGACAAAACACAATGGTTAAGGCTATTATTGCACCTTCTTTGCTCGCTGGTGATTTCGCCAAGATCGGCTGCGACTGTCAGCGCATGTTTGACTGCGGTTCCGACTGGGTCCACATAGACGTCATGGACGGTCACTTCGTCCCGAACATCACCTTGGGTCCACCAATTATCTCGGCCTTGCGGGAGGCCGTTCCTCGTGGTGGTAAAGATGGCAAGTCTGCCTCCTTCTTCGACTGCCACATGATGGTTTCCAACCCAGAGCAATGGGTACCTGAGGTTGCCAGGGCTGGCGGTGACCAGTACACCTTCCACTTCGAGGCCACTGAAGACCCGCTCGCGCTTGTCAAGTTGATCAAGGCAAACGGTATGAGAGCCGCCTGTGCGATCAAGCCAGGCACCTCTGTCGATGTGTTGTTCCCATTGGCCGAGTACCTTGACATGGCCTTGGTGATGACTGTCGAGCCAGGTTTCGGTGGCCAGAGCTTCATGCCAGAGATGATGCCGAAGGTTAAAACCTTGAGAGAAAAATTCCCTCACATGAGCATCCAGGTGGATGGTGGCTTAGGTAAGGAGACCATTCCTCAGGCCGCTGAGGCCGGCGCCAACGTTATCGTCGCCGGTACCGCTGTCTTCAAGGCCCAAGACCCAGCGCAGATGATTGCATTCTTGAGAGACACCGTCACCACCAGCTTACAGGAGAAAGGCTTGCTCACTGAGTAGGTTGTTACGAGTAAATAGATGCTAATTATTGTAAGAGGATCTGTCTGTAGCAGGTGGATGCCCGAACTTGAGGTTTCTATATACAAGTTTACGCATCTTCTCGGGTCTGTGAGGAAATGTAAGTGATTGTAAACCGGAACATACCGTCGGGCTGCTTCATGCCAGACAGTACAAGTTTCGGTTCAAAGTGAACTACACCGTTTACTTTTGCCTAAAATTATTCAACCTTTTAGCGGTTATCGCGCGCTATTTGGAAGTTGATGTATTAGATCTCTCTAGAGAGATTTACTTAACCCCTTCTATTTCCTTTTTTTTTGAATCTGCAATTAGCTCTGGCGATTCTCGGTCTTTCGCTTGCCCTACAAACCCCAATTTCAGTAATCAAAGCGTTATACTAGTATACAAAATGCGGTAAAAGAATCCATGAAGACCCAATCGTGAAAGTTTTCGCAATTCCTCCATAAACAATAAAAAGACCCAATGCAAAAGGAAAACAGAAGAAGGATGGTGAAACCACTGCATCGACCGCGGACTCCACCAAACAGAAAAAGGTATTCCTCTATAAAATAGAGCTGTTTGGCTGCTTAGAACACGGCAGAGCCCAAGGTGGTACCGTCACCCGTAATCTGGACAGAAAGCCCTTCGGAGGCGCGGTCCTCGATAATCGACCACAAGGCGTCTCTGACTAAGGAGGCCTGTGTCTTCTTGGTGACATCCTTCTTGAGGGCAATGTTTTCCTCGTCAATCTCCATCTTTTCCTCCTGCTTGGCAGCAACATCAATCAACAAGGAAACGTTTCTGGCAGCGACATACTTCTTGTTACGCTCAATCTTCTTGAGTCTCTTATTAGACAAGGTGTTAGTGTGGACACCAGTTGGAACCATCTTTCCGGTGTATAAGGCAACAGCGGTGGACTTTGGTTGCCCAGAAGTAGACTCCTTGTCGGATCTGGCTGGAGCGAAGGCACCGGCTCTGACCTTGGCGGCTCTCTTTTTACCGATGGAGTGGGCCTTTCTCATACGGTTGATAGAGTTTTTTGGTCTGTTGATAGAGTTCTTGTTAGGCATTTTGGCGTGTAAGGTGGTGTCCGAGATCTCAAACTGGTGGTTCACTTCTGGTGTAGGCAGTTTTCTATATGTATGCACAGGCAATTTTTTCCTAAAAACATTTTTTCCAGCGTTACCCGGCTGCATAGCGATGAGCCGCGCATGTGCAGGAGATTGGGGCCGGTCAAAGGTTAACTGGGTATTTTGATAGGAATACTATAATAGATGATTCCGGTGTTTTATTGACGTGTTGGAACTAAAACTTGAAATAGATGAAATCTGGCTTAAGTGGAAGCTTACAACTAATATGCTTTAAATATCTACCCTCTTCATCTCATGGCTGTCAAAGCTATGGTGGACGTGGCCATTTAGAGATTTAAATATGATTTTCCCAATGCTTGTAGTAGATAAACGGTGGCACTGCTATTTTTTTGAAGATTGAAGGCCAGAATCTGAGATACCGCCAAACATCTGTGTGCTAGATAGCACAAATTGAGTTAAGCCCAATGCTTTTGTTGAATTCCTTAATACGTTATAGTAGCAACTTTCGAGTTCAAGGAGTCTCTCCATCGTGTGGCTGGAACTTTGCACCATGAAAGTCACACAAGCATCTGGCTGAGGAACAAAAACAAAATGCGCCAGCCCGGAATCGAACCGGGGGCCCAACGATGGCAACGTTGGATTTTACCACTAAACCACTGGCGCTAGTTTCTGGTAGAGAAAGGTTGCTGATTGCTGGGTTAGGGGGAAATATTATTGGATCTTACACTTCTGGTTTATGAAATGGTATAGCTCTGAATGAAGATTACTCTCTGACATTGAAAGCTGGAACCGGTTCCCGTCTTAACGAAAGTATCTGCGAAGAATATCCAGAGTTGACACAAAGCTTGGCTTGGGAAAGTGCATTTACCTACATATCCACTAATAAGCCAATTTTATTATACTACAGTAATACTTAATCCAATATATCCAATATATCCAATGTTGTAACTGGCTGACGCAAGCCACCGATAAGTGGTTTATCAAAAACTTTCTCTAGATTTCTTGAGCTTGTCGCCATTATAACGATTAAACATAGAAATAGCCAGTCTCATTACTCTTACCTTTCCAAAATAGCCTCAAATGAGTCAATAATAACTTCCATATTAATACACTTCCTTTGTCTACACTCCACCAAGAATAGCTTAAAAAAATTCGCACCTTCTTTCCCCTTCTGGAGGCCCAGTCCATCTGACCCTAAAGCCTTATCGCATAAGGTTTCAGCCTTTGACTCATAGTCATTCCTGCATTAGGAAATATGACTCGTAGTCATAATAAGAAATCTGAAAAATTGGCCCGGCGGAAAATCTATTCAAACGTATAGACGAAAGGAGTTCCAAGCCTTCATATCGATTCCCCTCTTGCCCACCCACCTTAATTATCGCGGTTTTCCCTCTATCACACTCCAAATCTAACCACCCAAAAGCTTTAGAAATATCACAACCAGCTCCAATACACGAGCATCTCACATCCTGACAAATCTCGACTTTCCAATGCCCGCCAAACATAGCCACGAAAGTATTGGATCCTCACGAGAGTCACCGGTACTGGAAGAAGCCATCTCCTCTAGCCATGAACCTCCTACTAAGAAGCAATTAGATCAGATCTACAGACATCTCGACTACCGGATCATCCCTGCCATGTGGGTGTTGTACTTTCTCACCTCCTTCGGAAGCTCCGCCTACGGCAACACCCTCACCATGAACAAGGCCCAGGGTCACTCGCTCGTGCAAACCCTAGGTCTTACCTCGCACCACACAGCGACGGCCTCTGCGTTGTACTATGTCGGATACATCATCTTTGACGTGCCAATGAACCTCGCCATGACCAAGCTCCAACCCCAAATCTGGCTCTCGAGAATTGTCATGACTGTTGGGCTTGTATATGCCTGCTATGCTGCTTTATCCAATGCCAGGGGGGTAATGGCGATCCGCTTCATCTCCGGCATGTGCGGAGCCGGTACTTGGCCTGGTTTGAGTTACTACATTTCCTTGTGGTACCCTAACGATAGATCGGCCAAGCGAATTGGCTATTACTTTACAGCAGCCCAGATTAGCGCTGCAGTTGCGGGTTTACTTGGGGCTGGGTTCCAAAAGCTCGACATGGTTCACGGATTACAGGGCTGGAAGTGGATGTATCTCGTTTACGGTGTAATTACCGTTGCCGTGGGCATTTCCTTGGTCTGGTGGTTACCTGACCGTCCTATTGCGGTATTTGAAGCCTCCAAAGACGCAAAACAAGGCTTTTTCGCCCGACTTACCTCACCTATCCAGCCCTTGACCGCGGAAGAGCGGGTGATGCATATGCAAGACATGACCGGCAGATACACCCGCATCACCTACAACTTTAAAGACATTTGCAATATCTTGCTTGATGTACGTACCTGGCCGCTTGTGATCTGCTACTTTGGGGCCGTGGGAGCTGGATTTGGGTTGGCGGTATTTGGAACCACGATTATTATGACCAATAACCCGTCGCTTTCCTCCATTAACGTCTCCTTATTGTACGCTCCCATTTGGTTGTTCGATCTTGCGGCAATCTTGCTTATCACTCCGTTTGCTGACCGGTTCAAGCAATACCGCTACTTGTTTTTCCTGGGCGGATCCGCTATTGTAATCACCGGAATGTTTGTAACCACCTTTGCCCATGGGCCGTGGAACAAGTACGCGGGTTTATTGATTGCCGGCTTTGGGTTGGGCCCTACCGTTCCAACGGTGATGGCGTGGGCGGCAGAGATCTTTGCTCCAAAGTACGGCGACGTTGGCTGTGCCGTGAGCGCGGCATTGGTGTCGGGCTTGGGGAACTTAGGGTCCGTCACTGCAACTTACGCATTGTACTCTGGCTGGCCAGAAGACAAGGCCAGGCTCTATAAGTACTCCAATATGATGTTGGTGGTGATGTTGGGAGTTGGGATTCTCAGCGCCTTCTTACTCCAGGGGTTGAGATATTTCCTCGGAGACCTCAACCCTGAGACAGAAAAGATGAGCGTGGAGGGTGAAAAGGATTAGGGAAGGATTTTAGTACATTAATATATGTATTTGTTAATATATACAAGTCTACTCTGAAGATATGGTAATGCCATTTTCTGCGAGCCGCAACCTAGTTCTATGGCGGCCTCCCATTAACATACAGCTGAGCTTGCAACCATGCTGACTGTGATCCAAGGCACATTCAAGGATTCAGAATGGCCAAGATGGTGCATTAAATAAAAAAAACTGTTGGTGCTTTTAACACCGTTCAAACAACGACAAAATCATCAACTTGGGTTGCTACCCACTCTCCCAAGTATCCTCTCGATCGCTTCTTCAACTCTTCTCTCTGTGTATGGGACTTTTTCCACCCATTGTACGACCCACCCAGAGAAATCAAGCCCCTCGATACCGCTTCACTAAACATTCTATAGTTACTCAATGCACTCTCTCCTCCTCGTTTCACTCCACAGCCGGTCTGCGTAAACAACTTCATAGTTTTGTTTGCGTTAAGATTACACCCCTGCTTCACTCCACCGTTAAGTACCTCTACAAGATCTGTAGAGGGGATATAGACAAGAGATAAAGGAGACGGAACCATTTTTGGGCCGTTGATATCCGGTTTTCCGTGGGGAAAAGTGCCGGAGTCCTTGTAAGTGAGAAGGGAGAATGGCGTGCAATCCGCCTCAAATCTCTCTCTAAAACATCTAGTCATGTCAACTTCGGTAAACTTATCCTCTGCCAACACCAAATAGCTCAAATGAGCTCTGTCGCTCGAGAGGATCAGCGAGTTGATACAATTGAGAAAACTGGTAAACTGCTTGAGGGTTAGTTTATCCAGACACGACTTGGATAGAGAAATGGGCGAGTCTGCACGGCCTGGTTTGGTTCGTACAGTGCCTAGATGATAATATCCATCTCGGCCTCTCACGACGCCAGGCACAGACATCTTGGCTCTTTTGAGAGGTGGTTCATTCTCATAAACTGTTGGAGAAGCTTCAGTGGAGTTGCTTTTGGAAGTAGGGTTAGTCAGATAGCTAACACTCAGCAACCCTTTTACTCTTTCATCCCTCTCAGTTTTTTTCATTCCATCAAACTTTTCGCTCTGAGCCAAGTACCCCATGCTGGCGTCACCACATGGTGGTTCTGTTATGAACAAGGCAAACCTCATGCCCTCCTTGATCCGAAACGCTTTATTCGTTACAGAATCTGGATTTGTCTCGACTAAAGAGGAGGTTCTGCCGAGCTTGAGTTTTACGCATTCATGAAGCAAGTGGTAGTTCAAAGCCCGCAAGGCTAGCATCTCGCTATGGAGGTCGTGTACCATCCTTCCTTTAGAGTATGGTCTCATAGAGTCAGGAACAGCCTTAGAGCCCGTAGCCAAACTCACAAGCTGTAGAGGTTCAGATGATGTGTGTGCCTGCTGAGGCATTATGGCAACCACACCTGCAAGAATGGTCCACTCCTCAACACCGTTGCTTCTGATGGAAGGCTTTCCGGTCCTGGGGCACTTGGAAGTGTAAGCATTGACCACTAAGTTCGAGATGGCAAGCCCCAAGCTGGAATCCCTCACTATGTCCATCGGGAAAAATCTTGGTGTTTGTAGATACTCCAGAGTTTCTATCGGCCGGAAGCACGCACTACAGGTTGAAGGGCCAACTTGCAAGCGTGAAGTCGGCATGTCAGCGTAGAATATTTAAGCTGCAACCTGTATACATAAATTTTGAAAATGCAGGATGAATGCTCGCCTAGTTTAGCTATTGTGAGTGATGGGCTACAAACGACGGGCGAAAAATACCCACTTATAGCAGGCTTTATGGTACATGGTCTCCAGAGAGCCAGACCAATGGGAACATTCAGTAAAAACCATCACCGGCACTTGCGAGCAATACTTTGTGGCGTGAGACAAGCTCTACCTCTACTCTGTTTTTGGCCAGTGCGTAATCTAAACCGCCTTATAGTCTGCATATCCACGTAACCATGGTTTTCTGCATGCCCGCCCTGGATCCCTGTTAGTTCAGATTGTGATCGCCGTCCCATTTGGCCCTCGACATGGATAGCGATCCGTATTTTCGGTGTCAAGCCCTGCTTAGACATATGCTCCATAGAGTCCTTTAGAATCCAAGCGACGTATGATAATATTGTCTTTGGACATATCTGGCGTACACAAAGAGAGTATATCGACCCCTGTCAGCGTCCCCGGCCCAATTCCCGGTCCATTTGGAGTCCAATCTAACGAAGCCGGTAGCAGTACAACAGGTTCTCGGGCATAATTCCGGCTTCCTCTAATCCAAGAGTGCATCTCTCCGGCGCACAGCTCTGCGGTTCGATACCTTAGCTTTTCGAAAATGCCGAGCTGTATGGCCTACGCATACCTAATGCCAAAACTCTATACCAATTGACAAGTTCTAGTAAGTCCAGAATTGCCCTCGTCAGGTGTATCAAACGGTGGACAATCCTTGTCTACGGGAAAACTTGAAACCATTTATTTCCGCCGGACGTGCGAAATAGCGCCCTCACTGACCGACTTGGGCGATGCCTGTAGTGCGCATAATGCCATGCAGGAAAGGCTGGATGCGACATATAATAACCTGCATCGCTAGCAGGACCGCATATAAAGGATGTGGGCGGGTGGGTTATAGCGTGAATTGGCGTTTACGTACCTTTTTGCTTAATCCAGACACATGACAAGCTCGTTAACGACGCTCTTTCTGGAAACTTTTAAGCCGAACTGGATAGCCTAATGCACGATTTAGTTAAAGATGGGACGTATCCCGTTTAGCGCAGATTACCTATATATATACCTGGTACCCTTCACCCAGCGTTGCACTGAAAAGACATAGCATATCCTCAAGCCATTCGATTTAGCAAACTCTTGTATCCCTTAAAACTATGCCTGAGAGCTATCCTACCACATTCCCTCCAAATTTCCAGGAGAAGACCTCTGTCCGCGAATACACGCAAACACAATTACCTTTGGACCATGTGACTATCAAAGGAAACTATCAGGTTCCTAATACCACTTGCGAGAACGGATCACCAGTGTTTAGGAACAAGCTATGTCAGAGCACCAAGGGTAACCATTTGGTGACCTCTGTCCACCCCAGACTCACCACCCTCTACGATGTCTTTAACGTGGCAATGGAAAGCTATCCCACACATAACTGTCTCGGCAGCAAAACACCATCGCAGAAAGCGTTCCTGTGCAATACCTTTGCGGAGGTCGGACTACTCCGCGACCAATTCGGTGCCGGTATTATGTCTTTGATGAAGGGCGGGTTGTCAGCTGACCAAGACGACTCTCATGTTATTACCTTCTACGCCCCCAACTGCCTTGAGTGGATAGTCGCTGACTTGAGCTGTGTCGCCTACGGTATTCCCACCGCTCCGTTGTACGACACCTTGGGGCCCGGAGTGATCGAACATATTGTGGAAACCACCCAGTCCCTGGTTATGTTATTATCCCCAGCCCAACTCTCTTCGGTCTTGCATCTCGCAGGCAAGAACAAGCTAAGCAGCACCAAGGTGTTGATCTTGACTGACATTGCAGACCTTCTGACGCTCAGTCTGGAGGTTTGTGGCGAGGCGAATCGCTTGTCAATCAAGCTAGTGACCTTTACCGAAGTGTGTGTCCTTGGTTCCCTGAAACCGATGACCCATATCCCTCCTACACCCGATACGCTTTACACCATCTCCTTCACCTCAGGAACGGTAGGAATGCCCAAGGGAGTGGAATTGACCCACCAGAACGCTATTGCCGGGATTGCCACCCTCTACACGACGGTGACCAAGCCAAGCCCCCTGTACACCCCAGCGTCAAACTGCTATCGCTCGTTGTGCTTCTTACCGTTGGCACATGTCTTTCAGAAATTGATCTTCTACTTTGAGTTGAGCATCGGCGGCACGATATACCTTCCTTCTGTGCCAAATGATCTGAACCAGATTTTCAAAGACATCGCATTGATCAAACCCACCCATATGGTCGGGGTGCCCCGCGTCTTCAACCGAATTGAGTCTGGTATTGCAAGAAAATTAGAGACTGCAAACTTGCTAACGAAGATAATATACCAAAAGTGTATTATCTACAAAGACCAAAAGTTCATGGACGGGAAACACGTTACCAACCATTGGTTGTACGACCGCCGATTCACCCACAAAATCAAAGCCGTTTTGGGGTTGGAGAATGTGCGTTTGATGGCCACCGGATCGGCCCCGATGTTGCCCGAAACGATTCAATCGATGCGCTACTTGCTCAACACCGAGGTGGTCCAGGGTTACGGCTTGACCGAGTCCTTTGGTCCTATCACGGTCCAGCTAGCTAACGATGAGATCAACCCCGTGAGTTCTGGGTTTATCTCTGCCACGACAGAGTTCCAGCTCCGGGATTATCCCGAAAACAACTACATCTGGAAGAAGAACCGATCAGGAGAGTTGTATCTCCGTGGACCTCAGATCACGGCGAGGTACTACAAGGATCCGGAAAAAACCAAGGAGAGTATATCCGCGGATGGCTGGTACCGGACAGGGGACATTGCGACCTTGGATGAATTAGGGAGGGTGAGGGTGGTGGATCGCGCAAAAAATATCTTCAAGCTCTCTTTTGGGGAGTATATTTCACCGGAAAAAGTGGAGAACGTTTATTTAAAGTCCAATGCCAGTTTGATGACCCAAGTCTACGTGTATGGGGATCCGTTGCAGTCCTTCCTAGTAGCCATAGTGGTGCTTCAAGAGAATGCGTGTTTGGAGTTATTGCAGCGCTCGCTGTCAAAGGTCTTGGCGAAAATCAGGTTCATGGACGAGAGCAACATGACAGAGTTGAATTCCAATGTCGACTTGAGAAGGTTACTTTTGCGTCATATGAACAAGAATGCCTTCGCCTCAGGCTCATTAAACGGGATGGAACGGTTAAAGAACATCAAGCTTTTTTTCAATCACATCTCTGAATCTGGGGAGCGCAACAGTGGAGAGAACTATGGGTTCACGGTTGAGAACGGTCTATTGACCCCTACGCTAAAGACGAAACGGATGAACGCCAGGGCCCGTTTCAGCACAGAATTTGAGGAAATGTACGCTGAAGGTGATCTCACTGTGTGAAGCACTGGCTATAGATAGGTTTCGTTATATAATTCCCGGCCTTAACTGTTGTAGTCTTGATTTGAAGTTACTAGGTTAGGTCACTCAGGGTTTCGATTGAAAAGACCGGGTGCGCTTCATAACCATTCATTCTTCGTATGTACGACGGTTCTGGAATGACATCTAAACGGGTATTTAGCGGATCTATCACTGAAGCTACTCATAAATACCCGAAACCTCCAATTTACCCATTCTCAATGCTTGTAGAGTACTTGGCACACATGAAATCCTCCAATATACAACTTGTATTTATCTCGGCTACGATACTTCTGAAACTGTCAGAGTTAGAGAGTTGTTTCAGGAACCTTATGAGGTTCCAGTTGAGGCTACTAGGATTGTTTGATAATGAGTATCTGAAACTAATCCTGTCGCATAAAGCAAATGAGGCACCGAAGAAAGCTATATAAGGAAGTAGTTTTCCAGATCTAAGAATGATCTTGGTTTTAATATTATCTT